ATTCGAGGGTGTCATTGTTAGTGTAATTAGCTGCTAGCCAGGAGAAATTTTTTTTTTTATTTAACTCTTGACCTTAGTCTGAATTTAAAAACTTAAAATCCTGTAATCTTCTCTTAAATTACTCATCTCGCTTTCAAAAAGTGATGTTTTCATGTTTCATTTTGTGAGCTCGAATTTGGTCGCTTTTGGACCGTCTGATCTCCATTAAGTAATTCATTTATTTATTTAAATGTGGTTTAAATAAATAAGCTGATTTGAAGCGTAAATTAGTTTACTTTTTATTAAAGTAACTTGTAAATATGATAGTCTTACTAATGACCTGAGAAACAAATCGAGCCAAGAGTAAGTAATCCATACAGTAAATCTTATTACACGATTTCTCTGTGGTCCACCTTTTTCAAGAGCAAAGTTATGTTTTGTGCATCGTAAAATTTACAACTTTGTTAATTGAAATCTGTGTGAATCCTCGCTCTCCGTTTTCGTCTGTTTCTTTGTTTTTCATTCTTGCTCTTGTGGTGTTTTTCTAAAGCGGATAATGACTATTTAAAAGTTTCCATTTATTTGCTTTTACGGGTGCAACTCCATGACTCAGAAAACGACCCTAAATATCTCGGCGCAATGCCACGAACGTGGTGAAGATATAACATACTATGCCATTGATTTACAGAACCCAGCGGTGCACCTCAGAATTTAAGTCTTGTCAATACGACTTCAACAAGTATATTAGTCCTGTGGGATGAGGTTTTGTCTGCTGAACAGAATGGAATTATTGTCAGTTACAACGTCAGCTATCGGGCAATCCTTGAAAATGGATCTGTTGGGGCTATCATGTATGAGTTAGTTGATGCTCCTAAAATGTACGTGAGCCTGACCGGTCTAACAAAGGATATGCATTACAGTATCAGCGTGTTGGCATCCACAATCAAAGGTGACGGGATTTACAGCAACCCATAGACCTTTAGAACAAACGAAGACAGTAAGTCCTGATTTTCAACTATGCGACCTTTTAAAGTAAACTCATCACAAATACCATGTTCTACTCATTAACTGAATGGGAGGCTGGACTGGAAAATATTTTGCTCGAGATCATGACGTACCGACTAAGCGCTGCGCGGTCCGTGCCTCATAAACGAAAGCCAAATATTTTCTTATCCAACCCCACCTAACTCAGTCAACGAACATTTTATCATATTACCTCTGACTAAGTTTTAAACAATTCTAAAAAGGTTGTTTTAATAGACTGACGCGCGCGGGAAAACCACAAAAAAGTGCCATTACAATGACTCGACTCACAGCAAGAAACTCGCATTGTCTCTTTTTTTGTTTACTACCGTCACTCATTTTTTGTAACAACAGCGAACAGTGTCACCGTACAAGCGCACTAGGGACGGACGGCTTTTTCCGGACCGGTTCACGTTAACCTGTCCGGCCCTACACACGTCAGCTTTCACTATGGTTCTTTATTTGACTGCGCAAGCGGGGCTGGACGGCTGATATGATAATTTGTATTACTGACTACAAGGTGGGGCAACATTAACCAGATCGCGTCGGGTCCTCGTAAACACTATTTCTGTTCTGTTTTCATAATCGACCTAAGTAAATCAGCCTCAACATACGAATCTATTTCCAGTGAATTTCAATTTCGAAGGTCAAGTGGCAATGAAAGTAATGCTAAAGACAAAATCACTAAGAATACAGTAACAGAGCAATTTGGTGATGTTCAGTCAAATTCTGTTTGTCTGTTTTCTATGAAGTTGCCGCCTCTCAATGTCCCAAAGTTACTGACAATATTTGGCGAGTACTAATACTAAGTGAACACAGTCAACTTTTAGGCTTTCCTTCAAACCTCCACTCAACTAACTTCAACCCTCTAATCCAGGGTTCTAATGAATTTATCTGCCCGTTTTTATATATATTTTTTGTCTAGCTCTTATCATTCTACAGATTGGCGTTTTTGTAGAGTTCGGACTGGACGAGAGAGCATGCCTACTTGTTTTATTTCTATTCGCTGCATTCGCTTTAATTGAAATGTTTGAAAATGGTTTTCCTTATTTCTCCTCTTCACCAAGGGCCTAGTGGTCCTCCGCAGATGGTACAAGGTCAGTTCACCAGTTCAACCAGCATCGAAGTTACATGGAATGATGTGCGAGAAGACCAGCAACATGGTGACATCATTGGCTATACTGTCAAGTTCAAAAAGGTAATGGATGTGAATGCTCCTTACAAAGAAACCGAAGTTACCTCAAAATCTGCTGAATTGAAGAAACTTGAAAAGTACACAGTGATGGTTTNAGACAGACAGAATTATGTACTGAAATTTAGAATACTGTACAAGAAGAGGTTGATCTGCACTTGTAAGTATGATAGTCTTAATAATGACCTGAGAAACAAATCGAGCCAAGAGTAATTAATCCATACAGTAAATCTTATTGCATGATTTCTCTGTGGTCCACCTTTTTCAAGAGCAAAGTTATGTCTTGTGCATCGTAAAATTTACAACTTTGTTAATTGAAATCCGTGTGAATCCTCGCTCTCCGTTTTCGTCTATGTTTCTTTGTTGTTCATTCTTGCTCTTGTGGTGTTTTTCTAAAGCGGATAATGATTATTTAAAAGTTTCCATTTATTTACTTTTACGAGTGCAACTCCATGACTCAGAAAACGACCCTAAATATCTCGGCGCAATGTTACTAACGTGGTGAAGATATAACATACTATGCCATTGATTTACAGAACCCAGCGGTGCAATCCAGTTTATCTGGGGATCGGTTGGTGCCTTTGCAGTACTCGTTTGTGTTGTGTTAATCACAATTGCTATCAAACGAATCAGGAGAAAGAGGAACGACTCTTTGGTTATGGTATGATACAATTAGCATAATAAGATAATTAGAGTTATCATAATTAGTATTATGATGTTTGTGTGTTTAGCCTATTCCAATGGATGAAAATAACGATAAATTTGCTTTAAGGGAGGGAAACTGTATAACTACTACAATGAGTGTTGCATTTCCATGTTGACGCAATATGCTTGGAGGAGATATACTTTGATTGTGTCCGTTGTTTCCAGGCACGTATTTATCGTTTCGCCGGCATAAACCTGTAGCTTCTGCAATACGTTCTTGTCAACAAAAATGTCTGCCAAAGCACTTTTGCCCATTTTTAATTTGATTGTCATGATCGATAACGTCATCAGATGTGGAAAAAATGTTACTGGTCACAGGTTAACCAGATTTAACGTAGGCTTTTCATGCTTTCATTTCATTCAGAATATAGCAGCATCAACCTTTGGGCTTCAAACTGCTTCTTTTTGTTTCTTTATAGGAGAGAAACAACGAGAATAATACTTCCATGCTAGAAATTACACCGGGCATCATGAATCAGCTGAGAGATCATAGCCAGCAGATCCCTATAGAAGCGCCAGCAGAAGTGCTAAACTCAGGGGCAGAAGAGGTTGTGGTTGTTGACAATGAGACATATCTAGATCAAATGGAAATTGACAGAAACTGGGAAATTCCTCGAGAAAGACTGGAAATTTTAGAAACGAAACTTGGTGGAGGAGAGTTCGGAGTCGTTAAGAAGGGAAACTATTTGAGAAGAGATGGGAACAAATTACCCGTCGCTGTTAAAATGTTAAAAGGTTAGATACAGTCAAACGCTGTTTCAATTTATGAATTCATTTGGATCTGGTTGTTCTAAAGGTGTCACGCTATCCACTAGACAAATCTCAGTACTTTGCACAGCGCAGTAAGTTT